TATACGTAAACAATGAATCATGGAACACTACATCAAAAGTAATGATGTAATGTATGGTGATTAACAGAACATAAAAAAAACTAATGATGTAATGTATGGTGATTAACATAATAAAATAAAAAAAAGAATTCATAGGAAAATATAACATGATATTTATACAAATATCAACGGTAGCTAACACATATTCGAGCCCTTACTACATATTAGGTAATATGCTCACAGATTACATACATTATGACAAGGTCAAGCATCTGTAAGTGATAGAGGTAAGAAAGCTAAGTTTTAATATAAACATTTCTATTTGAAACACCAGTTAAATACCTTATTAAAGGATAACAACTGAGCTAGGGCATCTTCTGGAAAAATATGAAAGAAAAAAAGAATGTATTTATCTTGAATAATGAAACTGTAAAATAAAATACTTATGGTTTTCAAAGTTTATGAGAATCTTTACAGGTTTTTCAAAACCTCTATCACTCTATGACCCTGCTCCTACCAAGACTCCTTAGGATCAATGTATAAAGAGCTGTTATAAATGGGAATGTATGTCTCATAAGGAAATAGCATAAAGACAGAGAGAGAGAGAGAACAAATGGATTAAATTGCTTTTTATTGGTTAATGACAATTTTATTTGGTACTTAACTTCACCCGAACTTCCCTTCCTTATACTCTTCAAACCACTGTTATCTAAACTTACCTGATGAAAAAAAATCACCTGGAGCATTTGTTAAAAACCTATTACTTACATGAAAACTATAATTCTAAGAATCTGTATTTATAACAAGTTCTCTCTGAAAGTCAAAATAATTTGGCACATTTGTCAAATTTTCCTGGGTGTCATCTCAAATCCAATAAATCAGAATTTCTGGAGGAAAGACAACTGAAGTTGTATGAACATAACTGGGATTTGTATCAAAGAAAAAAGAACCTCCAATCTAATGTATAAATTTATTTAGAATCATTGCTTTTTAAGCTATTTTCCAAGTATATATTAATGAATGATTGTTACACTGATATTCTTTAATAAAAATAGTTATTACTATATTGCTTAAACATAAAGCAAACATTTTTATTAGACTCAGGTAAAATTTTTGAATGTATATTTGAAAACCCCATCCTAACTCATATTTTCTTCAATATGTGGCAAAACATACATGGAATCATAAGCAAACAAGAAAACAAACAAAAAGGAAAGAAAAAGAAATGACATTCCCTCTGCCATATGTGGGTGCATCATGTCTATTATGGTTGTTCCTGTGTATAAATATTCCTGTGGATAAAAGGTAGAGTGTGCCCTAAAGAAGGTGGACAATCTCACAGTCATATATCCAAAAAAGACCCTTGAACCTGGAAGGGATAACTGGCCTTAAACATGTGGAAATACGAACTCTTATATTTCTGTCCTTTTGTTTTTTTCAATTCTGGATGTTCAAATGGTTAGTTACTCTAACACAAAGATGGAGTCCAATATAATATATATATATGTGTGTGTGTATATATATATATATATATAATATATATTATATACATATATAATATATATAATGGAATATCTCTCTAGAAAACCCCAGGTGATAGTGAGTAAATTATAAATCTAATTATATAGTTGCACATTTCTCTGCATTTTCTCTTGTTATTTTTTATGTTTAGAGCAGACTTTTAAAAACACATTTCAACCTGGTCTCTGAATATCTATATTCTACTGGATATTAAGCAAAGGTATATTTAATGGGCCAAAATATTAACTGTAGAGCAACATCCCCTCCTTGAAGCCAGCATTATTTAAGAAGCAGATACCAGTGTAACCTCCAATCTCAGGAAACAAGATTCAGGACTACTAGGATTAGCTAAAACTCCCTCAAGAAAAGTCTCTGTGTATTACCAAATCTGGAGGTTTAACACTTAACCTTCTGAAAGAGCTAATTATCTATAAATCCAAAGTGCATGATACATACACTATACAAACCACTGTGAACTCTGAATCTCCAGTCTAAAAACTGGTTCTATTATCTAAACCAAATGAGGTTAAAGGAAGAAGTGGGAAGGAGAACAAGGAAAGGAGGAGGAGGGAAAAGGGAAGAAGGGGAAAATTAGAGGAAGATAAAAAGGATGAACAAAAGAGGAGTTAGAGGTAAAGGAGAGACAAGAGAATATTGAGGAGGAGAAAAGGAAAGGAAGAGGAAGAACAAGATAGAACTGTAATTAAAGCAAAATTCCTGCAAATGTTCTTCAAACATAATTCCTCAGAACTATAATTAAAGTAACATAAAGTTCATATACAAGTTTGCCTTTGAATAAACTCTGAATAATGTAATTGTTAAAATTCTTTAATATTGTTTTCATAAACATGCTGAAAATTGAAAAGACACTGTATTATTTCTATGTAACATATAGCAAATTTATATATTACATAAATTATTATATATAATGACATATCAATTATGTATCATATATACCAAAATTTTAGGATCAAAATAAAGATATAAGGATGTGTCAGTAGTTAGGATTCTAAGTAACTGTATTTTCCATCAAACCTGTGTAAAACACCTTCTCAATAAGCATAAAATCTCTCTTAATGCTCATGGATAATGCTCTAATTCTCTACAAATCCAAAAATTAACTTAGTTTTGCAGTGTACATTACCATGCTAGAACAACAAGGCTGGTAAGCTTTTAATTTTAAAAGCATATCACATAGCAACAACCTACATTACTTGGTCTTTATTGTCCTGACTACCTTTCTTCCTCTTGCCCCATGGTAAAGGTACTTGGCTTACTGCCCTACAAGGACACTGACCACAACAAGGCCCAGGCCTTCTTTTTCACTTTATCAACAGTAACACCTCATTTATTTTACACCACTAGAAAATAAATTGCTCAATAAAAATTAGCTGTCCAGATAAATACAACCTACTCCTTCAGGAAATAAAAGGGTTCTTTTTGGTTGTTAAAGCATATTTTATTCATTTATCCAACATATACTAATTAGCAGTCCACCAAGTTCAAAACTCTGTGGCAGGTTTATGAGGGAATACAAAAATGAATCCAACACACAGCTTAGTTTCAACAGTTACTAAAAAATGCACATATAAATGAGTAATAAAGATTTAAAAGAAATAATTGCTGTAAGAAATACTGAAATAATATGCTATGAGAGAGATTATATCAGAGAGCAAGGAAAATCAAGGAAAGATTCCATGGAAATGGTGTTATATGGAATGGAACCTAACAATTAGGTGGGATTTGAAGACCTACAGCCATAAGTGAGGAGACATGTAAATGTTTTCACACCAGAGACTGAATATTTGAAAAGGAAAAGATAAAAAGTGAAACATGTACAGTAGTTCAGTTTTGACAGAATAAAGGGTATAAGCAAGAAGCTGAAAATGAAATCCAAATCATGAAGGACTAGGCTAAAAATGTTAATTTATTCTTAGTTAGTGAGAAGCCAATGACTGGTTTGAGCAGTGGAATAATATGATCAAGTATATAAATCAGGTATTAGTATATAACACAGTTTGGGGAGGAAAAGACAAAGGATCCAAGATAAAGAGAGAACAATATGAAAAATTTAAGCAGCAATTAAGGAATTTTTTTTAAAGAGATATATTACAGAGATACAAAGTACCAGAGTGGAAAATTGCACTGATAACATAATCAAAAAGAGGATGAAGAACAAAGCTGACTCAAGTACCCACTATCATGAAGATGGTAGGCTGCTTAATCAAAACAGGGGACTTAAGAACATACTGAATATGGGACTAGAGATGTAAATTCAGTGTTACATATTCTGTAAAGATGAGGGGCCAGAAAGACATTTACATGGCAGTGTCTTTGGTAGATGAGGATATAAGAATAGAACTTGGAGATAAGAATAAGAGTGGAAAGCTATCATGAAACTGAATAAAAATTCCCCCAAAAATAAGCTCCACAAAAGCAGGAATGTTATCTGTTTTGTTCACTGTCTTATTTCTAGTGCCTACAACAGTGTCTGGAACTAAGAATGCCATAGAATAGATCCCAGTGAGTGAGCAAGCAAGTCAGACAGACACGCAAGAGGTCAAGAGCCTGATCTTTTTATGTGAATAATTAGACATAAAAATAAAAAGGAGAAGAGAAAAGCATTATGAGTCATAAGAAAGATCAATAAAAGAATATTATAGAAGTCATGATAGGTGAATTTTAAGACGGGGGAATGGTGAATTGTGTCATTCTCAATAGAAATATTTACTTATACCTACCTTACGGGGTTGAAAATCATATTTCACACAGTGCTGAAAACCTTTTCCTTTAGACTTCAGTGATGTGACTATTAGACAATTGCCAACGAAGTGAGCAGAGTAACCAACTCCTTTGCTAGTACGAAAACTGTAAAGAAAACTGAGAATAGTATAATATCCTCTGATACAAAGAACTATAAACCTAAAAATTATTAAATAAATAATATAAAACATTATTATGAAAATAAAACTCATTTCTCCATAGAGTAGAAGAGGTATTACATGTACCAAATAAAGACTAAACCATAAAAGGTTTAGAACAACTAAAGAAAGAACTTTAAATTGAGAAAACAGAAGACTACAGAACCTTCTGAAATTTCAATGTAAAATATCACAAATACATAAAAACAAATTAATGGCCAATGAAAGCCTAAGTAGATTTCATTTACCTTCAAGGACCCCTGAAATTAGCAAATACAGAAATCATTTACACAGCCACTGTTTTCAAAAACAACTTACTCCCAATTCTATTTATATCTTTAAAAATAGCTTACAAATTACAAAAAAAAATCAGAGCCAAGTTCGATAAATGATGTATGTAATCAAACGGAGTACATTTTTAGTCAAAAGAAGAAAAAAGATGTGTCTCCGAAATACAGTTATTTTCTTTGAAGGGAGCACTCCTCCTAGTTGTGAATTTAAGCACAGTCTTGTAAAAACTGTAAATGCTCCACAAAATAATGGTATTATTAAAATAAATGTATGATCTGCCAAAATGACCATTCTGAAATTCAACCCATTTATGTTTGGAAGTTCAGATGTTTGTTTAGAACTCCCTCTCATTACTCTCCTTATATAATCTTTTCTAATAGAGCTTACAAGCTATTAATAGCTCACATTTTTCTGCATTCATATTTCTGAGCCAATGTACAAAAGCACTTAGTTATTCTCTCATTAAATCTGATGTGATAGGTACTACTGTTATCTTCACTTTACAGCTGAAGACACTAAAACACAGGATCAATAAGTAGTGAAGATAAGACTTCACTTCTTCACTGCCTGGGGTCTTATTTCAAAGCATCGCAAGTATTAAATGAGGTAATACATGTAAACACTTACAATGCCTAGTGTATAGTAAGGCAATCAATGCAAGTTTGATGTTCTCATTACTGTGCATTATTGGTAAACTAAAATTACCAAGCTCTCGGTCCTTACAGGTCAACCTATCTGGGATTATCAACCCATTCTGTTAGTTATCTATGAAATAATTACTTTTATTATTTCATTGCATTTTCTTACATAGTAGTTATCACTAATATTTTTAAAGCATATCTTAATTATGCTCATAGAACAAAGGAAGTAAAAATGCAAAGTGATGAAATCTGGAAGGAATTTGTTTTTTTTCTCCCCTGGACTGGGGACTTGCATGTCCACTAACAATCCCCTAACTAGTCTATATTGATGTGGACTGGACAGAGAAGGTTTGTAAATCTTGACTTTCAAACTGTAATTGGAAAAAAATATAGTGAGGCTGGTTGCCTAAAACCAATAGCAAAAAATGAATAAATAAAATAAACGACATGCGTCTTTATAGTTTTAACATATATAAATATAAATATATATATACACAAACACATACACATTCTATTTAATATGTTGCCTTGACACTCTGTTACATATTTATAAAACTGAAATACTTAAGACAAAAGTACTAAAATTATATATATTACTTACCAATAAAGATAAGGTTTATCCTTATCCACATTAATGTTATTTAATGGATCCATACGAAACCAAGTATTTAGAGTAAAGCCATTCTGATAAGGCCACTTTGCAATAGGAGGCAATGCAATTGCCTACAAGGCAATGAAAAAAGAAAAGTATCAGCTAAAGAAAATGTGATAGTAACCAAGGTCAAATATAGCCTTACAGATCAAAAAACAATGAAGATATAAATATCAGAAAATCATAGACTTATCCCCAGCCAATGGCCTTAGCACTTTCTGTATCACCAGTTTCAACATCCAGTCCACTAGACCCTAAACTAGAACTTAAAGATTGCATTAAACTGAGGAAAGAATTTGAGCCAAGCTGCCCTTCAAGTTTTCTAGACCTACTCTTCCACCAAGAAAAAGACAAGTAGTCCAAGAGATCATTTGTTATCTTCACAGTAGGACTGGGGACTTCTCCTTTTTATTTTTATGTCTAATTATTTCTTCTGTATCTCCACAGTAGGATTTAGAGCCCTAAATCACATACAGTTGCAAACACTAGTGAACAAAATTACAATGGAAAAAAAGTCTTACAAAAGAAAAATCTAACCTTGAGTGATAATGAAATAATACTAGTCTTTGGTCTTGCTACAACTGGTACCAAATACGAACCTGAGAGGCTCTAGAATAGCCTTTTCCTTGGTTTCATTGTGGACTTCCAATAACTCCATGGATAAATAAGGATCTTTATATTATGGCCAATCTCTTCAACAAGATAGTTACCTTTACTGAAAGATATTCTCTTAAATTTAGTATATAACAGCTAGACTAAATGTTTTAGGGACCTAAAATTGCCCATTTCTAGATGGTACTCCTCAATCTTTGGCTCCTACTTCTGTACCAACCAAAGCCTTCTATACAGTATATACTGTATCTCCAGGCTTTCCCTACTCTTTTTAGCTAATGCATACATCCTCCCTTAGTCAATGCACAAAAGCTAACTTTGTATAGTACTGCCATGTATGTGAAACCCAAGCACATTTACAGCCAAACCATTTGTGCCCTATCTCAACACTCATTTCCTAGATTCCTTACATATCCATCTGATCCCATGGTGTTAATGGCATATCCTTTGGGATACCTTTGTGATTTTGGATTTAAGCTGTTTTTACTCTTCTTCCATATCTCCTTCTAAAATATTCTGGTACCCACACTGGATGTTCCTCACTGTGTCCAGTGAGTCCACAGGACTCCAAAATCTATATCCTTCACTGTCCCCTAATCCAACGGACTCCAAAATGTATGCTCCTATTTAATGTGCAAAAGAAAGAATTCTGATGTTTAGATGGAATGCTTTCAGTAAACTATTTCAGTGAATTAGAAGAATTCACTATTTCCTAAATTAAGCGGATTCATGAAACATACGACTATCATGAAAGGCAAATCTAAATAGTATATCCATAAAGGTCACAGATCACATAAAATGTCATACATTTGCCATTCACCTTTACATAAACCACTCTATAGAATTCTACTGCAAACTGCTCATATGAAGGCAGCATAGCTCATAGAAAGGCACCTTCACAGGATAAAATATAATTCAGAAGGCCTACTATATATGGTTATTTCAGAGGGAAAGTAAGCAGTGTCATAATTTTAGTGATCCAAAGGCACTGCTATCAACAGTGGTCCAGACAGTATGTACCCTCTTGTTACTATCATGCTCATCCAGAGATAAATTATCAAAAACACTGTAATGGCAAGGATTTTAAAATCAGCTCCTATATGAATTTTTCAGTAGTTCAATAGCAGAGATAACACACCTGGAAATAAGCCAATGTGTTACTAAAAAACAAAACAAAACACTGAACTTAAGGTCAGGCAAATTTTAGTTCAGGCTATGACTCTGCTTTATGACCCTGAACAATGTTACACTGTTGAGGTTCTTTCCACAACTAATTTAACAGCAACACTATCATTTATATTATATATAACTTCTATGACTCAAATGAAATAACAACTGTTAAAGTTCTAGTTCCTTCTTTGCTTCCTCTCCTATGTAGACTATATTGCTAATTAATACTACCCTTCATGAAAATGAGTGATAGGGGAAAACCAAGAAAGGAGGAGTGGATAGTGTAAGTCCATCAAAACCCCTGAACGAAAACAATTCATACATACACCACTAACAACATATAAGTAAAATTCTCTCTATGTGTGTGCATGCATGTGTGTGTAAAATGCATTACATATTGATAAAAAATATTCACAGATTTCTGGTAAATGGATCAAATGTCTAAAAACAGGATGACTTGCAACCCTACTGAGGCAATTCAAACCATTTATTAAAACAGTTTTAACACTCTGTTTTAGCTAATTTTGTTAATTCCACCAATAAGACAGTAACTTGTTTATATTTCTGCCAAAACACTTGGCTCTTCTTTCTCACCCTGTAAGTGATATCTACTAGATGTCAGATCAATAAAAGTTTTATAAAATATATTAAAATCTATGTATGTATGCAAAGAGAACTATTACATAAATCTGAGAAAACCAGTATCTTCTTAGGGACAGTGACAGTGTTTTCTCTGCTAAGTACCATCATGTGCATTTGATATGTGTTCCACCCTAACAATCTGATATGTAAAATTATTAACTTTCATCTGGAAAGAGATTTTTAACTTTCCTATTTTTGTTTCACAATTTTGTTACAATGGAAAATTATAACTTTAAAAAAAGGTTAGTAACAAAATATTAAGGGAAAAAATAAAATTAGGGGAATGGTTGATGAAATGAGAGACTACAGGGATGCTTATGCACTAATAATAACCAAAAAGCAAGAAATATTTACATGATGTTTTATAACTTATATAGTACTTAAATATTAAATAGTATATTATTTCATTATAGGCTCACAGTAACACTCTTCCATGAGAAAGTACTAATATTTTACATGAAAGTAAGCCAAGAAACATTAAGGGACTAGTCCTCCACAGTAATGAAGTAGAGGATTCAGAAATCAAAACCAGTTCTTCTAGTCAAAAGTTATACATACTCTCTGCAATGGTACACTGTTAGATAAAAATAATGAAATCAAGTAGACTGAGAAAGTAAGTTCTTTGAAAAGAACAACAAAATGGATAAACTTCCAGCTAGATTAATCAGGAAAAAAATCCAGTATCAAGAATGAAAGAGGAGGGGCGCCTGGGTGGCTCAGTCATTAAGCGTCTGCCTTCGGCTCGGGTCGTGATCCCAGGGTCCTGGGATTGAGCCCCACATTGAGCCCCACATCGGGCTCCCTGCTCCGCGGGGAAGCCTGCTTCTCCCTCTTCTACTCCCCCTGCTTGTGTTCTCTCTCTCACTATGTCTCTCTCTGTCAAATAAATAAATAAAATCTTAAAAAAAAAAAAATTTTAAAAAAAGAATGAAAGAGGAGGCATCACTAAATATCCTACAGACATTAAAAGGATAAGAAGGGGTATGATGATAAACTTATACAAATATATTCAACAACTTAGATTAACTGGACAAATTACTTGGAAGACACAAACTACCAAAGCTCACTCAAAAGGAAATAGAAACCTCCCTATATCCATTAAAGAAATTAAGTTCATAGTTAAAACCTTCCCACAAAGAAAACTCCAGGCCCAAATAGCTACAATAGTGAATTCTAGCATACATTTAAGAATAAGTAATATCAATTCTACATAAACTCTTTAATAGAAAGAATTAAATAGTTCCAAACTCATTGTATGAGGATTACTCTATCACCAAAACCAAAAAAGATATTATAGAAAAAGAAAACTACACCCCCAAATCATTCATAAAAATAATTGCAAAACTTCTTAGCATTACGTTAGCAAATCAAATCCAGTGTTGGATGAAAAGGTTAAAACATAGCGACCAACTAGTTTTTACCCCAGGAACACAAAGGTTGGTTTAACACTGAAATATCAATCATTGTAATTTACTACATTAATAAAGATTAAGAAGAAAAACCATATTTTCACTTCAATAAAATCAGAAAAGGCATTAGACAGAATTCAACAGTAATATCAACATGTTGATGATTAAAAAACCTCCTAGTACATAGGAACAGAAACAAAAGATACTTAAGACTTTATGTTAAAAACTGCAAAACACTGAAAAATCATAGAAAACTAAATAAAGGAAGAGATATACTTCGTTCATGAACTGGAAGACTCAATAATATTCTCTCCAAATTATTCTATATATTTAACACAATACAATCTAAATCACAGTAAGCATTTTACAAAATTTGACAAGTTTATTCACATGTATTGAAATGTTATCTAGAATAGCCAAAATTATTTTAAAATGAAGAACAAAGTTGGAGTACTTACACAATCTGAGTTCAAGAACTAGTTACTATACAGCTACGAAAATAAAGACAATCTGACATTGGCATAAATATGAGCAGAAACAGAGGACAAAGGAACCAAACACAGAGATCAGAAACAAATCCACACAAACACAGCCACATAGTTTTCAAGAAAGGTGCCAAGATAATCCAAAATGTTAAAGGACTGTCTCTTTAACAAATGGTTATGAAACAATTCAATATTCATATGCAAAACAAACAAAACTTTAACCTCCAACCTTCCCTCATATCATATTTTAAAAATTCACACAAAGGGAATCATAGACCTAAATATAAGAGCTAAAACAAAAGAACTCTTAGTAGAAAGCATAAGAAAAAAATGTGACCTTGGTTTATATTGATTTCTTAGATTACAACAGCATATGCCATAAAAAAAGTTTAATTCAACTTCATCAAAATTAAGATCTGTTTGCTTTAAGAAATACTGTTAAGAAAGTAAAAGCCAGATTGCGAAAAAATATTTGATAATTATCCATGTGACATTAAATTATACTCCAAATACATAATGAACTCTTAAGATAATAAAACTAACTCTTTTTTTTAACTGAATAAAGATTTGAACACAAATATCACAAAAGATGTAAAAACAACCAATAAACACATGAAAAACTGCTCAATAGCATCAGTCATTAGGGCAATACAAAATTATAACTACAATGAGTACCATTATATAACCATTTAAATGCCTCAAATTAAAAAGATGGACATTGTCCAGAATGCAGATCAACTGGGATTCTCATACACTGTTAAGGAGAATGCAAAATTTTCCACTATGGAAAGCAATCTGCCTGTTTCTCATGAAATGAAGTACACACTTAGCATAAAACCCAGCAATTACACTCATGTTTTTACTTACGAGATGAGAAAACATGCCCACAGAAGATCTATGTTCAAATAATCACAGCAGTTTTAATTACAATAGCCAAAACTGAAAACTCAAATAGTGAGTTGGATAAACTAGTAAATGAATAAACTGTGGCACTTCCATAAAATGTAACACAACTCAGAATAAAAAGGAACAGAATAAACTACTGGTAAGCTACAACATGGGCAACCTCAAAAGCATTACTGTAAACAAAACAAGATGAAACCAGAGAGGGAGACAAACCATAAGAGACTCAATCTCAGGAAACAAACTGAGGGTTGCTGGAGGGGATGGGGGTCGGAGGGATGGGGTGGCTCAGTGATGGACACTGGGGAGGGTATGTGCTATAGTGAGTACTGTGAATTGTGTAAGACGGATGAATCACAGACCTGTACCCCTGAAACAAATAATACATTATATGTTAATAAAAAATAAAAAACTTAAATAAATAAATAAAAATCTGAAAAAAAAAAGAGCATTAAGGTAAGTGAAAGAAGGCTGACAGAAAAGATTACATACTGTATGATTTTATTTATATGAAATTCTAGAAAAGGCAAAATCATAAAAACACAAAATAAATTGGAGGTTGCAAGGGACAGGGGCTGGGGAGAGGGGACTGGTTTCAAAGAGACACAAGAGAACTTTAGGAAGTGATGGAATTGTTCAAAATCATGACTGTGGTGGTAATTATGAACTTAAAACTCATCAAATCGTACTTTTAAATGGGTGAATTTTATGTGAATTATACCTTAACAGAGCTGAATTAAAAATAAATAAATAAAAATAAACACATGTATTTAAAACTTACCGCAGCACTACAACCAGGGAAATTGAAAAAAGTATCAGGACCATGTCTTTGTGGCATCTGATTAAGAACTGATAATAATTTTACAGCATGTCTTGGCTAAGGAAACAAGAAAAAGAAATGTCACTGTACAAATTTAGCAAAAATACCTAATCTATCATGTTAGACACTGGACTGTTTTCTAACTAGAAAGAAATTAATTTTACATCATTTACTAAACTCTTTAAGGAGAACAATTTCCATTACAAATTCAAGTTTATAGCTCTCTAGAGACAAATTGTGGAACATTAAGTATTAATGCACTAATACTGAATACTGTTCCCTCTGACCACAGCTTACCCAGATTCCACTTTCTCCTCGAAGCATGCTGAACAAAAGCTTCAACTCCTTGACAGTGATGCTGTAGCTGGCAAGAACCCCCAACATATCAACTAGAAGATCTTCAAAGGAAAATAAAGTTATTCTGAACTCTAGTCATGAGCTGCCATCTGTCAAGGTAATATACTTTTTGAAAGAGCAAAAGTTATCAATTCTCATTTCTACATACATATTTATCTAAATGTCCTCATGAATAGTCATTCTAATTAACAATTTTTAGGTCCTCAGATAGCCAAAAACATTGTATTCGAATTTTAGCATTTTTCCCCATCAGATTTACCATTACAATTAAGTTTCCTTAGCAAATATATAAAATAGATTCCCAGAATACACATACACACATACACCTGCTATATTCAGGGAAAGGAAAGCAAAAATACGCAAAGGTATAATGATTTAACATTGTAAATTGGTTATTTTCAAATGAAAAAGTGAGAGTTGACCATATTTTATTTTAGAATTATCTATTCTTAATAAAATATATTCTTGAAATATTCCTTGCCCCATTAACAATAATTTTGAGCACTTACTCCTTGCCTGGCATTATTCCAAGTGGTTTACAGTTATTAAGTACACAAATCCTCATAACAAGCCTATGAAGTACTATTATTAGCCACTTCCTAAAATGAGGAAAGTGAGACATAAATAACCTAATCACCTTGCCCAAGAACACACTCTACTAAGTGGCAGGGTAAGGATTAAAACCTAGGCAGTATGGCTCCAGAGCCCTCTCTGTTACCTACTAGTCTCTAAATCAAAGTCTGACTTAAACATATTACCAGTGATATCCATTCTGTTCATGTGTTTATGTGCATATGAGACACACCAGCTCACCAGATAATAGGAAAATTATACATTTAATCTCTTGTCCTTGATTTCTTTTTCATCTAGACATTATGAGTAGTACCTCTATCAATCGTTCTTTGTAAGAAATTACACATCTAAATATTTATACTTTTCTCGATTTCTAAAGCACTTCCTAAGGATTAAAGATACTATGCAAATTATTACAATCAATACACATATACACTCTAAATAATTTATCATCAATTAATTTAAAAAGTGAGTTAGGATAAGTTCAAATAATTAGTTATTGATGTATAATATATATTATCCAATATCACAAATTAATAACTGGAATTTGAGACTTTAAAAATATTTATTATGTATCTATTTCAAAATAGAAATTTAATATACTTATTTTCATCAATAAATAATTGAATAATCTTACTTAATGCCACAATAAGTAAGCAATCCCTATGATTAAATTGTGACTATTGATATGCCATTTTTGAGATCTTTTAATGAAATAAAATGTTTCATCATTCAATAAAAAAGCTTATAGTTACTACAAATAAGTCAGAAGATCTTTTTTTTTTTAAGAAAAAATTCTAGATAGAAAATCAAGCACCTTAAAACCCTAAATTAATAGGAAGCAGTTTCAAGCAATTAGCTGCAATGGCAAATTCATAGATTCCTTAAACATTTACCTACAAATACTTTTCTAAAAAATTAAACTTCTTTTTCCAAACCTTTATCTCATCTTATATGTGTGTCACAAAAAGTAATCTATTAAATTGGTATTTAATTACAGAGTTATTAAAATTTCATATTTATTATACATATAACATAACCAAGTAGCTCAGTTTGATTTTATTATAACAGGCGTTTTTTTCTGGACAAAATTTTTAAAGAAGAAAAAATACTCAGACTATAAAATTCTTTTATCAATTTAGTATAGATGTTTAACTACCTTCTAGTAATACCTACACATTAGTAAATGAAAAGTACCTCTTTGAACTTAACATCCTATAAATATTCAGAGTGAAAACTTAGTAGTGTTTTTTGGTGCTTCATTAGTATGTTATCTAAATTTTACTTTCTCTACTGAAAAGTAAGGTAGAGGTATTTTTCTGATGTTTATTCAATGATAAAATAACAAAAAGTGAAAGTTTTGTGTTAGCAGTATTATTATTATTGAGAAGCAAAGATAAGAGAATTAAGGAGCTTTATATAATAGAAAACATGAACATAAGAACTTTTGCAGTACTAATCAAGCTTACTATCATCTTATATCTCAAAGCTCATGAATTATGTACCAGTAAACTACTATGTAGGTGATTGTGGCTCATTTTCCAAAGTGCACTTTATAAAGTGGTAGCCACTTTATTTCAAAAAACAAACAAGCAAACAAAAAAACTTTAGGGACTAAACCCAGATATGAGGACTCAAAGATCACATGATGTTCTATACAACATGTAAGCACCAAACATATAAGCTTATGCAAATAAATTCCTGTTAAACAATGCTAGAATTTACAGAATGGTTTACAGATGGTACATATCATCATTAAAATGATGTTTTAAATCTGAATTTCATTTTTCATCAAGTTAATCACTAGTAACCAATATAGAGAATGCTAAATCATTCTAGAGATAGATGCCACCTTGAAAGCAATTAGAAATGATTTTAATATACTCTATTAGAAAAAAATGTTTAAATATTGTTTAAAAGACATTCATCTTTAACTTATTCTTCACTCCATTATTTCTTAATGTTTTGTTCTACTAATATTAAAATTAATTATGCATAAGTCCAAAATATGATAGAGGATTCTCTGGTGTCCAAACTACTTGTAAGGATCAGGTATGGTATTGTGAGGAGTCATATTAGCACTTTTAAAATTATGAAAACCCTTTTGTATCAGAAGAGACTTATGCTGAAGATTCATGGCTTAAAACAATCAACATTTTAAACTCTAAACTTATTTTCTGGGAATAGTGTTGCTCTGGGACCATCTTTCAAAACATTTCTACTGAAGTGCATCTAACAACAAAGGAGAATGAACTTGCAGGGAGATAAAGGATTGGCAATGAATAATCACAGATTTCAAAGTTATTTGAAGTAACATATAACAAGCACAAAAGTTAGTATTTTTATCTTGAAATTCCACGCAAATTTTATGTTCTATTCTAGATCTGTTTATTTTAATACAAAAGTTTCTCTAAAAAATATCAAAGTAAAATGGATACCTCCTAAAAATTCAACACGCCTATCCTAAGGATATTAGTTCTTCCTGTCATAGTTCCATATATGCCAAACTGAAAATCATGGAGCTCGAAGAAGTTGGTAAAGTGCTCATTATACAGACTTGTAATACATATTGTAAAATTTTAATTATGTAAAGTTTAACTAAGTACTATGTAAAAAGGTACTGTTTATTTTTCTGATAGATTTTGTGGTTATTTATTCCATGTAATTGAGATTTTCTAAAACCTGGAAAAGCAAAATCAGTAATTATGTTTGTCTAATAAAGAAGAAAGTGTCTTCCATTCTTCAAGTTTTCCCTTAATATACAGGGCAAATTTTCCATACATTTCTACTATTTTATTTTTATTTATTTATTTTTATTATGTTATGTTAATCACCATACATTACATCATTAAGTTTTTGATGTAGTGTTCCACGATTCATTGTTTGCGTATAACACCCAGTGCTCCATGCAGTACGTGCCCTCTTTAATACCCATCACCAGGCTATTTTAAATCAAGTTAGCTCCAACAAATTTATATTACCAAAAGAATATAAAGAAAAGTACGTGAATCTTTATAAACATTTAACGTATATTATCCTGTCAGATAACCTCATACCTGCTATCATGTCATCTACAGCACTCATTTTCAGCAATACTTGCTCAATTAGCCCAACTTCTGTGCTAGTCTGTAAATTCCGAACACTTTTTCGTAAAATGGCTGTAAACATGCTCCATATTTCTGCTTGACATGTTACATCACAGTGTTCCAAAAGCTCTGTCATGCATGTTATACTCTCAGCATCCTGGATAATAAAGTTCATCTCCAAGTCAAATTCTCCGCCAACCAGCTGAAAATAAACAAAAAGAAACAGTAACTAATGATAACATGAGTGATTATTTATAACAGTAAAATAAAAATAATAAAATAGTTCAAATAGCAGGACAGCATAGCTACTCTAAAAAATTTCAAGTCTTCTAGTCTAAAACTACCTTTGATAAAAATTTGAAAGCTACAGATTAAGGGTGCTGTAAGAATGAAAACTAGCAAAGTCTAGTTTTTTAAAAATGGAAAAAGTAATTTCAAATCAAATAGAGCAAAATGGTGCATGGGACTACTGGATAGGATTCAGGACAAATTACTAGAAAAAAGAATTTGGCTCCAAAAACTGATAATCATTAGAAAATGCAGAATTCGCTAAGGATAAATTTTAAGACATGAAGTTCATTTTCTTTTGTGATATTACCAGACTGACAAATCAGATGTAACAGAAAAGAAACAAAGGGCCTAATCTCCATGTACAGAAGATAAAGAAATATGAAACTGATACTAGCAAACTTATAGTAAAAGTTGAAATGATAGAATCAATGTTTAAAAATGTTTAAGAGAAATATAGCTAGTATCTTATAATACTTTACTTTAAAAAATGTGAATTGATATACAAAGATGATTTAATAGCAATGTATTTGACTTGTGACATTATATCAAGTGAGTCAAAAGTATTACTGTTCTCTATATCTTAAGAGTTTGGTTTTGTTTGTTCATTTGTTTTTTTGTTTTGTTTTGTTTGTTTGAATATTTTACATCTGTCTTTAGTTGCCAGAGAGGAGGTGGGCAGGGAGATGGGCAAAATACATAAAGGAGATTGAGAGGTACAAACTTCCAGTTAAAAATAAATAAGTCATGGAAATGAATAGTACAATAGTCAATAGCCAATAATACTGTCATAACGTTGCATGGTTACAACAGATGGTGACAACATGTGTGGTGAGCATTGAGTAATGCACAGAACTGTCGAATCACTATGTTGAACACCTGCAATTAATGTAACATTGTATGTCAACTCTACTTCAATAATAAATTTAAATATAAATTTAAAAAGTATTACTGTCCCTCCCAAATGCTACTTTAAGTACAATGATAGACAAATACACATAGAATAAAAGATATAATGATATTCTTATTCTCTATTGATCAAATCACATATGATGTATTAATTATATTGTTATAAGTACCATTCTTAAGAAGAACATTGAAAAACTAGATATTTTTTCTGGTCTAAAGAATAGAAAATTTAGGAAGACAATAATAGCCATATACAAAATACGTGATAAATCTGAAGTCATACATGCATTATTCATTCATTCAATAAATATTTTATTTACTAAAGACTAGAAATTACTGTTCTAGGAACTAGGGATATATCTGTGGACAAGAAAAAGCCCATGCACTAACAGTGTTAAGTTCCAGAAATAAAGATGTGTGTGTGTGTGTTAGAGTGTGTATATATATACACTCTAACTTATCCCCCCAGAAGTTGAAATTGGTTCATAAGTTACAGAAAGCATAAAAGAAGATATAAACTGTAAGTAGTTAGGAAAATGGAAATAAAGGAAAAATAAGATTAGGGGCAGATAGGTACCAGAAATTAGGTTCAAGAAGTAAAATTTTTTATCAAAGAAAAATGTTCATTAATAAGGGTAGATAACCACATGCTCTGGAGAAATATGATTAATCTTAATAATAATAATAATAATAATAATAATACCATCAGGTAAACTTATATGCCATTTAGTACTATTCTAAGGACTTTTCATATATTAAATAATTTAATTCTCAAGCAACAACTTATGAGAAAGGACCTATTATTTTCATTTTACAGATAAGGAAGAACTGGCACAGAAAATTTAATTTGGAAAAGATCACAAAACTAGTAGATAGATGATCCAGGATCAAAACCCAGTAAGTCTGTCTTCACACAAGTCCATACAAGCAATAAAATCTCATTTAAGAACATTTTTAAAGTCTTTTGAAATTTAAGAATTTGAAAAAAAATACTCTCAAATTTTAAAATTATCTTCTGTATTTTTTTCTTTAACAGCTCCAAACTCAACTTATGAGAAACTAGCCCTCATCCTAACTTCTGACCTTCTTTTTTTTTTTTTACTGACCTAGATATTCTCGGGTTAGAGCCTGGTTTTACTTCTGTGTATGAAACAACTTCAACTCCTCCTCCTATTTCTGTCTTATTAACAAAAATAGCTACTAGAATGGTTAAGAGATTTCAGACTTCCTGGATCAGATTTTAGCTGTACCACTCGCTGTGTGACCTTAATGACTCTACTTCCCTAAGTCTCAGTTACTTCATCTAAATATGGGAATAAAATTTCCTATCTAACAGTGTTGTAGTTACGAGGATTAAATAAAGTAATGAGAAAGTAGGCACTTAGGAACAAAGCCATATAGCTAGTATTCAGTTAAGGTTAGCTACTACCAGTTCTCTTATGACCTCAACTCTGAGCTAAAAAAAAAATGTAGTCATCTGATCACATATGTCTGAAGTACCATGAAACAGCTAGCTTAAGCCTTCTGTTTCCAGCAAATGTTAAATTATGTGGATCATGTACTCTCTTAGATATTAATTGTAGATCTATGAGAACCAACTCAAACATCTTTTTACCATAGCATGGTCTTATCAAAGAACTGCTTACTTTTCCACTATTATATGTCCAATTGACTTGGGTCACTACTCTAAATCGTGTAGACCAGTGGTTAGTAACTCAGAAGAGGTGCTCTAAAAGGGAACTATATAGAAGGGAAACAAACAAACAAAAAAAAAAAACACGTCTGAAAATCAATGATGTGGACATTGCCTGACTGAACTAAAAGAAGTAAATACTTAGGTTTAAGCCTATGAGCCTCTAAATAAATGTGTGTAAGAATTAGTATATACTAAAATGGGAGAGCACTGAAGAATTTTTTAGACTAATCTCCTTAATGAATTTTAAGTGCTTCCATAGAGTCTGGCATAACCAACAACCATTATGTAATGCGTAAATAACAGAGATGGGCTCAGCGGGAAGGAAAAAAAATAGTCTGCTTTTAAAGGAATCAACAATTAATATGTGTAATTCTAACAATCAGGCTCTGTTATGGGAAGCTCACAGTTCCATCTTTCACAGTTAAAAAACAATGCTCCTTTCTATATATCATTTAATTACAAAAGAGTACAATTTGGATCTCTGATTTCTTTGCCAGAAGCTGTAAAAATATTTATTGTAGATGTTGTAAAGTGGGCCTGTATTTTCAGATGGTCTTTCTAACCTTTACTATAATTTTTAATACTTTAGTGTTAATAAGGCTAAATGCTTACAAAACTATCATTCCAAGATTAGAGAAATATTTATTCCCTACTTACAAATGAGTGGTTCAATATTTACCAACTAAAGCACGTAAGAAAAAGTAGAAACAATTGGCTTTCATTATTTAAACTATTCTCTAACAATCCTATGAGGAAAATGCATAATTATCCTCCTAAAAGTGAAAATAAATGAGGTTAAATAGCATGAACAAGGTCACATATAAGTAATCCAGGATTCTAATCTACATTGAAAAATGAACCTAAGTACCTTCCTATTAAGTCAGAAGTATAAACTTAAGAAAAAAATAGAAACAAGATGTATCATAGATCTACAAAGAAATCAGTGTTTTATGAACTGTGTGTGGGATAAAAGAAGAGAAAATAATTTCTATGGGTAAGAAATAAAACATCCAGAGGCAGTAAATAAAAATTTTTAAAAACAACCAATTTATTTAAGGTTATTTCAGCAAGAAAGTAGAAGACTTTGAAGGCTCAATTACAGGAAAATTAGCAATAAACACTAAAAAAGAAAACTTATAGGGAAACCTTTTAAAAAGCAAAGAAAATGACACAACAAAGCTGAAAAAGCTAAACCAAAAAAAGCTAAAATCACTGTTACCATAGTATAAAAGAGATTTATAAATCAATAAAGACTTCCTGTAAATCTGAACGTGTCATTGTAATACTCTATTTTCACAGTTAAGGGAGTTCTTTTCTTCCAGGCCTTTTCCTTAAAATTCTAAAAGGTATTGCCACTATAAGAAAAGTGGTCCACAGTGGTGCTTCCTACACAAGAATTGGTCATAGAGGAATTTATATAGAATAAATAGCACAGCTGAGCTTTTTAAATGAAATAACTCTTATTTACATAAAGAAATAAAATTTACTATATAAAAATTTAGAATATAAAATGCTGACGTGGAAAATATCATCTGAAAGGACTAAGTTTGTAATCAGTAGCAATTTAAGTATCTCTTATTTTTTAAATATAGAGCTTTTAAATATTTTTATTTTGAACTCTTAGATTATTAGAATCATATGGGATAATTCTTTTTCATTAATTAGATCAGACTGGACAATTATTAACCATTTGGATTTCTTTGCAACTTATCCTTCAGGATAAATTCTAAACTAGATAACACTGCCTATAAAGTCACAATTTAACGCCCCAGCTCCAGCTTCCTCTACTTCTCATTTGTTAGCTACAGTCATAGGAACATTTCCGCACTGCACATCTGTCACTTCATCTAAAACTTTTCACATATGTTAATCCCTATACATGACATAGTTCTCTTCCAACCTTTACATTTGTTAACTTCCATTAAGCCTCCAAATATCAGTTTAGATACCACTTAATCCAGAAAGCCTTCCCAGAACCCACAAAGATGGCCTTTCTCTGAATTCCCATTACAACCCATGCAGGCCATAGCAATCACTGCATGATACCATAGATGTTCACATGTATCTTTCTTTTTTTTTTTTTTTTAAAGATTTTATTTATTTATTTGACAGAGAAAGAGATAGTGAGAGCAGGAACACAAGCAGGGGGAGTGGGAGAGGGAGAAGCAGGCT